CAGCATTATGGAAAGCCCTAGGCAAAGAAAGGGATTTCTGAATTGGGTTATGCTCCAGATTCTGTCACATTATCTGCCTATCATGTTGCATGACAAGTGTTTGCAATGGTTCCTCAGCAGTCACTGACACCAGGCCACAAATTCAAAGACTGCCCTGAGGCATCCAGCCTTTAACAGCCATTTATGCTGTCCTCTCTCTGCTTACTTAGGCCAATTCCTGACCGCCATCACACTTCTTCAGGGAGAAAGATGATAGGTAAAGGGCTTTTAAGCATCCTACTAAAATACCTCTCTTTAAATGTCAGATCCTGTAATTTTCCCTGCTGCTGGGTTGCTATGGCAACCAGATTATAATCTACCAAGTTACCTCAGAAACCAGGCAAATCTCCTGTGCCCCAGTATCAGTTATTCTGAGTAAGAGCAAAAGTCATTATTTAAGCAAACCCTATTCATCTTTGCCCTGACTTAAAGCATTGTATTATACTGAGGCAGACTGACCACCTTGCTATTTTCACTGTCAATAAAGAAGAGATAAAAATAAAGTTTTGACACACACCAGTTCAATGATCTTTCCCTGACAACAGACATGAATGAGACAGTGGCAGCAGGCTTGCATCACACAGCCTTGAGGAGCATGAGTCACACCCTGGCAGGCTCCCTGGCACTTAACCTTTTGTATCATACAAGTCAGTCAGTCAGTCTCTCCTTCTTTCTCACCCCCATCTCNATATGTGGCATATAAAAACAAAGAAAAAACTGATGGAACAAAACAGCAGCAAACTCACAGAACCCAAGAATGGACTAACAGTTGTCAAAAGTTAAGGGACTAGGGAGGATGGGTGGGAAGGGACAGATAAAGGGAAAAAGGGGCATTATGATTAGCACAGCACACATAATGTGGGGGGTTGAAGGGGAGCACAGTGAAGGCAGTTAAGCACAGAGAAGACAAGTAGTGATTCTATAGTGTCTTACTATGCTGATGGACAGTGACTATAATGGCGTAGGTGGTGGGGACTTGATAATGGGGGGAATCTAGCATCCGCAATATTGTTCATCTAAGTGTATATTAATGATACCAAAATTAAAAAAAACTCTACTTCTCCTTCCTAGAATTTACAATTTCAATTAATTAAGCAATTATTTTAGTGCCTGTCTTTCCTTCTTTAATCTGAGCTCTATAAGGACAAGGTATGACATGAAATATGTGGTTAAAACTATGCTGGGCATATAATAAGTGCTCAATAACAATTTCTACTGAATGAAAGTTGTAAAACAAAGAAAACCATTGCAAACAATGGCTGTAAGTTAGAAATTAAGCTTTCACAATATGCAAGTTGAAAGTCCACTTTATTTACTTTCTGTACCATCATTTATCTATTTTCTAAAACAGTTTCTTAAGAAGAAAGTCATTTCAGCTTGAAACTAAACCTGTAATATCCATGTATTTTTGCTTCTTTTAATAATTTATCACAGGAGACACTGTGGTTATATCAAAATTTTTAAAATCAGGAAAACATAGTAACTGGAGAAAACAGGATCCTTCAAAGAAAAGCAGTCTAAACTTCATCCCTGATGCTTCTTCTTATCTTGAATTGGAAGTTATTTCAAGGCAATTTATTTTTCCTGTGCAGTAACTGTGTCAATAATCTTTCAGTCCTAAGTATTCAAATTGTCACCAATGTAAACACATTGTACCATTTTAAGAACTCAAGGAAATCCCTTCAAATCTCTATAGTGATTAGAACATTCCAATTGCTTTCTTGAAACAACTTTTAAAGTCATTCCTAATACAAAAATTTTGATATAACTTTATTTTTACATAAACAGAACACAACTCGACTACAATAGAATAAAACAAGACTCCGAAAAAAAATTATCCATGTCTTTTTAAAAGTCCTTAGACCAATTCTAACATCACTGTAATAGAGCAGAAACCATCTGCTTTGTGCTTAAACCTTTAGGGATAGACCTATATGCCTATAGAATTAATTTGTTGGGGGAAAAAAAAATCAATGGATGCCAAGACTTTGTGCCCCAGATATTCCTTGACAATCCCAAAGTCATACACTCTCTCCTACCTACACTCATAACTGTCAGACATGTCCTGGATGCTGGTTCTGAAAGTGGTATTCACCAGCATTATGGAAAGCCCTAGGCAAAGAAAGGGATTTCTGAATTGGGTTATGCTCCAGATTCTGTCACATTATCTGCCTATCATGTTGCATGACAAGTGTTTGCAATGGTTCCTCAGCAGTCACTGACACCAGGCCACAAATTCAAAGACTGCCCTGAGGCATCCAGCCTTTAACAGCCATTTATGCTGTCCTCTCTCTGCTTACTTAGGCCAATTCCTGACCGCCATCACACTTCTTCAGGGAGAAAGATGATAGGTAAAGGGCTTTTAAGCATCCTACTAAAATACCTCTCTTTAAATGTCAGATCCTGTAATTTTCCCTGCTGCTGGGTTGCTATGGCAACCAGATTATAATCTACCAAGTTACCTCAGAAACCAGGCAAATCTCCTGTGCCCCAGTATCAGTTATTCTGAGTAAGAGCAAAAGTCATTATTTAAGCAAACCCTATTCATCTTTGCCCTGACTTAAAGCATTGTATTATACTGAGGCAGACTGACCACCTTGCTATTTTCACTGTCAATAAAGAAGAGATAAAAATAAAGTTTTGACACACACCAGTTCAATGATCTTTCCCCGACAACAGACATGAATGAGACAGTGGCAGCAGGCTTGCATCACACAGCCTTGAGGAGCATGAGTCACACCCTGGCAGGCTCCCTGGCACTTAACCTTTTGTATCATACAAGTCAGTCAGTCAGTCTCTCCTTCTTTCTCACCCCCATCTCATCCTCCCTCCCTCCTTTTTTCTCTCTCTAGCCACAAAGCAGGCATAACTACTATAAGTTCTTTTAAATACAAAACATAGAGCATAAAATCACTGTCCAGACCTTATCATTTTTCATCCAGTCACTAAGCACTGCCTGCTTTCCCAAAGTCAGCATTAACACAGTTCATGCTGCATTCTGTGTCTTGTCAGAGGAGTGGAAAAAAAAAAAGATGAAGATGTTGCCACTGATATATTTTTTTTCTGAGATGTTAAAATAGAACTACGTTAACCAAATCATAAGAGCATACTTCAGGGTACTATTCCTTCATCAGATCTGTTTCGAATCTGTTAGAACATAGCAGACCAGGAAGCCTCCAAGGATACTGGCTCAGAGCACAGGGGTTGGTATGGGAAGCTTATCTTTGGTCAATACCAGTAATAGGATAAATGGTCTTGATTTGTTTCTTCGTGGGCTTTAGGCCTCATTCAGTTTAAAACAAGAACCAAGCAGCCCAGAAAAACCAAAGGCAGTTTACCAAGGCTTAGTGAAAAATGACTGACCATTCTTCAAAAGTCTAAAGAAGAAAAAAAAAGCAGGAAGTAGAATTAATGTAATTGAACTAAAGGCTAAGCACAGCATCCTGGGATGCTTTACCCAGCAAGACAAAACCAAGCTTTCCTTCAAGGTATAAATCTAAATCTAGTGGTTTCTAACTCATTTAGAAGAGGAAAAGGAAAGCTATCTTTCCAATTTAAATTTAGAGAGGCTGATTAACGGGCAGATCAATTAATGTCTAAGACTACTCCTGAAGGCAAATTCCTAATTCATGTGGCAAATAAAAAATCACCAACCACCTGAGTAAAAGTCACTGCCATTCTGTGCCCATCACAAAAGTTTCTGCTAAGAGGACAGAACTGACGGACCAAAGACCAAATGTCACATTTGCAGCTTTCTGAAAAGTTAAGTCTAATAGCCAGACAATCAAGATACAAACCGTTAGGAGGGCAGATACCTTTTCACTTTGGGAGCTTTCTCCACCTGCCACACTCGGTGAGGCTTGCCTTACTCTAAGCTGCTGCACACAGAAGTGAACACAGCTGACCTGTAGCCAGCATTTATGATTATCTAACAGCTATCTTTAAAGGAAAAAAATGACATGACCTTCAAGCTGCAAGAGTTTCATTAGGTAGGGATTCTATATAGGAATATTAAATAACTTTTAACAAATGACAGTTGACTACATGAGAGGAATAATAGCACCTTTTTTCTACACACATATACACACTCACTCCAGAATCCCAAACTCCACAGAGAAATCCTGGTGTGCTCCACCCAGTCCCTCAAGGGCCCAAACCATCCGTCAATACATACCATTTAGATTCTGGTCTCTGTGCCAGAAACCACAGCTGGCCCCAAGCAAACTGAAAAACAGACATCATTTGTTTTCTGAGTCTTTCCCTTTCCTCCAAATCAAGAAGAGGGAGATGATGAGCTGGAAATGACTAATAATTATATCTGTGGTAGTAACACACATAAAGCAAATGTCCTAAGATTAAAATGTGAGTAGGTAAAAGAGGGAGGTACTTGAAGATGATGCAAAAGTACTGTTTGCCTCACCTGCTCACCTGTCCTGCCTGAAGCCTGAATTCAAAGCTGGCAGGAAACGAACATACCAGAGCAGGAAGCCTCCAAGGGTACTTACACACTGGGTCAGAGCACAGGGGATGGTAAAGGAAGCTCATCCTTGGTCAATACCACTCACAGGATAAATGGTCTTGACTTGTTTTTTCCTGGGGTTTAGGGCTCATTCAGTTTAAAGCAAGGAGCAAGCATATTGCAATGCTCCCAAATTTTTAATACTCTGATTTCCTCAAAGGATGAAAAGTTCTAAAGTTGCCCCCCAAAACAAATCATTTCATATTTCTAAAATTAAGTCAGTATGATAAAGCCTACCTTTATCAACTCTTTAACAGCTGTTTTTTCTACAATGATTATATAAACAGCAATTACTTACTAAGCCTTTATGGTCTGTCAAGTACGTTTTACTAAAGAAATTTTATAGATGGGGAAACTGAGGTTTAAAGAGAGTCAATAACTCTTCTAAAGTCACAAAACTACAAAATGCCGGAGCTAGCACTGGAACCCAGCCCTGACTGACCAAAACGAACGCTCTTCTCTTTGACCACGCAGCTTTTACCTGCAGAGTCAATTCTTTGTGGATTTACTTCAATAAATAGCTAAAGGAGAGAACACACTTAACCAGGTTAAAGTCATGTCTCCAAAGACAGAGGACAAGTTCTCTTCTAGGAAATCTATTCTCACTCCCTGAGCCAGAGCCCATCACTCCCAATATGGCAGTTTGGAGATAACGGATCCCTTACGCAACACCAACAGTTGTTTTATATTGGGCAGGACTGGATTCATTCTCATCAAGTCCTTGTCACATCCTTGAATTCCTCTAGAGTTATTTGATGAACGAATGAGCTAACCCACTAAATATCACAATCACTAGATGTCATTTCTCATGGCCCAGGAGTAGACATAAGAAAAATAAAACATGATTCCTGGGAAAATTCTATCTTAAGCTTTTATGCCTCCCAAAAGCCACCTGCCCTTAAAAAGAAGACAGGAATGGGTTAATACATACCCAAGGAAAGAGAAAACAGATGAACCAAGGAGGACATTTTTATGCACTGAAATTATACCAATGCCTGCTAAAAATATACACATTTGTAAGAGTTCAACAAGCATTTAATGAAATAAGTGCCCTTAGAAGAGAATTAAGACTGAGTTACTGGTAGCTTAGTTTTAATTGAGCAAATATTGATGAGTACTCAGAATGGGTCAGGCAATTCCTCTAAGCATTGGAAATCGAGCCCTAGACAGCACAAAATTCTGCCACCTTGGGATGACAAAATGGAACTTGCATGGGATGGTGGGGTTGGGGAGGTGGCAGAGTAGGGGAGTGTGGGAGTGTTAAAAATAGAACACATTTACAGATAGAGGGAAGGGCTATAAAGAAAATACAATGGCAGCTTGTAAGAAGCTGTACATTTCTACTCTAATTATATACTGCCTTAAATAAAGAGATTCTATTACAAAACGAGCTGCTGTTTACTAAGAATAAAAATATAGCATTAACTTAAATGGAAAAAATGCAATGTAATACAGATGGCCAAAACTAGGTTAAAAGCCTCTTTTAAGAGAGCCACAAATGCCAGAGTCTAAAGTTTCACCTACAGGACTTTCAAGATACCTAAGAATATAAAAGACCAAAATTCTATGTAAGCTTTAGGGTAGCTTTTCCATGGCTAAGAATAACAGCTACCAAATATCCTTGTGCATTTGGAGCACCATTACATTTATTTAAAAATTTTTTTCATTTTATTAAATACATTTTTCACAGAGTCGTTGAGTACCAAAAAAAAACCTTTTCTTCCTTGAGTTGAAAATTACGTCCACTGACAACAAAATGTGGATCCTGTCATTACCACTTCAGGGTTAATCCTTGTCAAAAATGTTCATCAGGTGAGGTACAACCCCTTTCCACCCCTCAATTCCATCCACACACACCCCTAAACTGGGTTCTAGCCACACTGATGGGGAATCAATGGCTCCGTCCACTTTGCACCTCATCAGCCCTACTCTGGGTGAACTCTGCACATCCAATCTGAAATGTCTCCCCCCATTTAGATCCAGCTACCTCAAGTGTGGTTTTGACTGGGTGAGAAAGAGCAACATGATCTGCCACGACGGGCTAACTACTATCACCTACCTCTGGCAAACTGTGCACTGAGCCTGAACAAATGATGCTACAGTCAGACTCTCAGGGCCAGGGAAGAAATATACTATAACTGCCTATAATCCCTATATTCCAGTATTTTTTAAACCCACTTCAATGTTGATCATGTCATTCATTTAACACTGTTCTTCCCCCTAAGATAATCAAGAACCAATGTGCTGTGTCCATAAAGAATGTCCTCATCCTTATAACTGACAGAAAACCAATTTCCAATATTTTGTCATTACATATTCTAGAGTTAACTTCTCTGTATCACTATACTTTCTCAATTGCTTAAAATTAACAGTACATTGCCTGATAGTTTGTACCCACTAGCATAAGATCAGAAATGAACACAAATAGGGTTTTGGGGGGATTTCACAGAAGAGAGAGAAGGTCTCCCTCTCCCCACACCACCACTGCACAGTTTATTATTACTTACTTATTTAGGCCTTGGCTTTGCACTGATTACGTGAAACTTATTTAAATCCATACTAAATACAATTATTGAAACCTTGATTATCCAACAAACATTTGCTAAGTAGCTACTATGTGTCAGGCACTTTATTAAAAAGCACTAATTCTAGGATGAGGAAGATGAAATCCTACCAATTTGTGTGTTGGTACAAGAGTAGAAAATAAAACTAACTATAATAAAATATGAGTATTTGCTATTAAGTGCTATGGAAACTAACAGTTACATTTGGGAGTGATATTTAAATGGAGAATGAGAGACTACAAGATAAGCAAAAGATCACACAAGCAAAGCACATGGAGGCCTGAAGCACATATGTTTAGAATTTCCATGCTGCTGTCATGGCGTATGCATGAAAAAGGGGTAAAGGTGAGCCTGCAGAAGCAGGCCAGCACCACCTCAGAAAAGCCTTTGTTAGGCCCACTTAAATGTCTGGACTTTATCCTGTGAGCAAAATTTTGCAGCAGAAAAGTGACATTATTAGGTAATTCTGATAGCAATGAAAAACTCAAACTGAGATTGGAGACACTGGATAAATGGAGACCAATTAAAATGTTAATGCAGCATCCATTTGTGACATAATTCAGGGATTATGTTGTGCAAAGTAAGAGTTTTCAAAAATAACTGCTGGCTTAACCTTTCATAGGGCTATTCAGATCACAGGGCTTGTTGCTGACAAGTTCTGCCCTGTCTACCAACAGGAAGTTTCTAAGATTACGGAGGTGTAGTAATGTGCATGGCTATCCAAACCACAACTACTTAATTTTTTCCTACTTCCTGTCACTCTCTAATTCTGCTATCTAGCTGGGATTCTGCCATGGCCATTTCCATTACCACTATCACTGACAGGCATCCACAGTCCTCCCATCTCATGAGCCTCCTCCTCTATTTTTTCTTCCTTTACTCCTTCTCTTTGGTTTCTTGGCTTCTGCCCTTAAAAAGCTAACCCCAAGAGCATTCAGCAACCAATCTAGCATCCCTGTCTTTTACTTTTAGTCACCAAGAAGTCACGGTGGATGATGTCATTCACCTACTACATTTTTTGGTTGGTTTGTTGACTAAAAGGAAAGGAGGACTAGTAGAATCAGTAGAATTAATGGGAAACAAATACAGTTATGAGTCAAAGGAAAAGCATTACTTATTTTCAAGGGACCAACAGTTAACTGTATCTCCAAAACATCAATTTCTTAAATACTAAATAATTCCATTTTGAACTAGTTAATTTATTTTTTATATTTTGAAGTTACAAAGTTTGCCTTTTATCATGTCATATATTCACAAAAAAATGTTGGAAAACTTAAGGACTCAGAATTTAGATATGAAAAACCATACTACCTAAACTCAATCTTTAAATTAAAAAAAAAAGAATCTTAAGTACTTATGAGTTTTAAAAAAAATACATAATAGCATATATTTCTTCTACATGTTTAAGTGTGGTTTTCCTGCCATATGACTTACTGAGGTAAAATTTGATGGAGTTCAGGCCCAACCTGTTTTCTAAGATCAGCTAACCCTTGAACAACATGGGTTTGAATTGCACAGGTTCATTTATACATGGATTTTTAAAAATAAATTCATTACAGTACTGTAAATGTATTTTCTCTTCCTTATTATTTCTTAATAACATTTTCATTTTTCTAGCTTACTTTATTGTAGGAATATAGTGTAGAATACATATACGAAATACATGTTCATTGACTACGTTATTGGTAAGGCTTCTGGTCAAATGTAAGCTATCAGTAAAGTTTTGGGCAGGGAGTCAAAAGTTATATGTGGATTTCAATTGCATGGGGGGTTGTGCCCTTAACCCACAGGTTGTTCAAAAGTCAACTATAACATCATAGCATATAAAGACTGAGTGAAGACACTCTCTGCTCCTCTCATTTTAGTTTCCATATTTTAACTAACAGTTTAAAATTCAACTAAGGTACCCAAGATACACAATGAGAAGAGCATCTCAGATCACAGCTGAGTCCAAGTTCTAGTTCTTTCCCTCCTATTTCCTCATCTGAAGAGACACCTACCTCACATGTACACTTAAGGGGCGGAGCAACCCTAGAACAGCTCTGGAGAAAGGCCTCAGACATACTATGTGCCAAATAAACAACTGTTACAGCACTTCTTTTTCTTCAAATTTCTAACAGTGATACATTTCAGTTGAGAAAAAATGTGGCCTCTAATTGATAGAGTATAGATTTCTTTTTTTAATCAGATCTGCCATGTTTCATGTTCTCAATAAAATCTAAAACCAGCCAACTCTTACCTCTGACCAAATTTTCTATTTGGGAAATATTCTGGCTTCCCTTAAAGTCTCACCTCCCAACTCACTCACATTCTAGTGTCTGTTCAGCTTCTGTGGATTTCAGTAACAATAGTGACTTTGGAATCCATTCACAGCAGTTCTGAAATGTAATCCCTTTACACCTACAAAATGGTTTGAATTACTTGGAAATGCTTCTAATTAAGATTATCATAATGAAAGTCAACAATAAAAAGTAATCAAGTAACACTACAGTATGTGGAAATTTCCTATTAAATGCTCAAAACTCTAGGAAGAGGACCCTTTTTGACCCATATTGCTGCCTTCTCAAAACACAGGAAGAATTAAATTTGGCCAGATTCTTAAGGAACATCAGGCATCGGCCTTTTTAAACACTTAAGAAACTAGTTTGAGATATTATCCACCATACAATCCTAGAAAACAAAATTATACATCTGAATATTTAAGACCATTAAAAAGTTGAAAGAAACTGTCCACATTTAAGGTTTCAAGTCAAACAGACTGAAGAGAATTACATAAAAATCTAATATTTTTAGATTTTCTTTTCTAGACTCTAATACTAGAGCTTTGTAAGCAACTGTTGCAGAGCTGAGCACATTTATACTCTCTCTCAGTCTTGGAAGAATGACATCTCTGAGTGCATGCACATACCGATCTGTATAAATGAACAGATTATTCCAATTCTTCCCTCATTCTTCAC